AAAGCTTGAAAGATGTGACTCTGTTACCGTCCACTTTGTGTCTGAATAGCATTGCCTCCCTTCTGTGGTTTTAAGGGGCATTTCCCTTGTTACAGACCCGAAATAATGGCCCGCCCAATAGGACGTCTTGGAGGGAGCAGTGGGTCGGCAGGAGAAAGACAAGTCTTTCTGCTCCTGTAAACAGTTACAGTCTCAGAAACCCACAAAGACCCGTCTATCCTGTCCTATAGGATGGCTTTGAGTCTGACTGCACTGGATGGCACTGAGTTTTGAGTTTGAGGATAGTTGGAACCCACCCTCCCCTGGAACTGGTCCAGGTTCCTGCACTCTGAGCTCCCTGCCCTGCCCTGGCTGAGCACCCCTAACCGAAAGGTGCCTGCAGAGGGGAGGGGATGGTGTGGAGGGAGACAGGCAGCTGGGAAGTGAGGTCGTGCTCCACGCGCCAAGGAAGACACAGGCCTGGAGGAAGTCAGCGCTCTGGCCTGGCTGAGCCAGCCGCAATCGCTCCCTGCAGCCAGCCACCAGCTTTCTGTTCTTTCTCCGCCAGGCACAACCCTGCAGCTCAAACCCTTGTAAGAGTTTCAAGGGGGGAAAGTGGAGCCTGTGGAAGGCGAGGAAGCGATAGATAACTTGCGAGGGGCGTTTTCCCCGCAGGATGCTCAAGGAATACATTGAGAAAATCAGAACGGCACGCAAATTAAGGACAGATCTTTTCGGGACAATTATTGTTGTTGTTGTTTTAATTTTTAAGGTACATTCCTGTGGAGAACTCTTGAGACTGGGGCCTCTCACACCAACTGACCCTCATTGCCCCTCTCAGGTCTAGTTCAGGCTGGGTTGGCCTGCCCCCCAGGAGCCCCAAGACCCAGCTGGGTCACCGAAGGGCAGATTGGCAGTAAAGCACCCTAAGCAACACACTCTTCCATCTCACCCCCTCTTGTTGGAAAACAGGAGAGGAAAGGGGGGCGTGTAGAAAACTGGCCTGCAGTTTTAGGGGGTGCCCCCTTGACCTGCAGTTTTGTGGAGTGGGAGTGGTGGGTCCTCAGTCACAGGGGATGGGGGGTGTCGGTGGGCAGACTCCTAAAGCAGGGGCCTCCTTTGGGGAGAAATACACATGGAGAAATATACAAGCACTGGGGATGCTGCTGCTGAAACTTGTTGCTGGCGGGGGTGGGGGGGGGTGTCTTCCAGGCATAGGCAGAATGTCCAGAGGTCGCATTTAATCTGTCCGACCCCCAGATATTTATTGTGCCCCACCAAGCTATCCAGCACTTTATTTTTTCCATTTTGCTGTCCCTCTCCAGCCCCTCAAGTCTGCTCCTGGGACGTGGGACTACCTGCCGCTCCCTCCCAACAGGAAGGGGGTCCGCGAGAAGAGAGAACCGCAAACGCACTCCGCGCCCAGTACAAAGTACGCTGTACAGAGCAGCGGCTGACAGCAGTGCTCTCAGGGAACTGGGGTGTCCCTTCTGAGCCTGGGGTCTTTTACCTCCAGGGGACCTGTCCCGAGTGCTTGCTGGAGCATGGGGAGTGGGGAAGGGGGTCCCCTTCCAAGGTCACCTGTATGAAACGTTTGTTGCCCAAGGCTGAGATTTCTCTCGGGGGAGACACTTGATTGTGTGAGAATCAAGTGTGTCCCTGCTGACAACGGACTGGACACGATCCCCACTGGTGTGAAGAGAATTTGGGGAGCGGAAGGTTGTGGTCCTGGATTCTCCAGCTAAGGGAAACCTCATCCACCGCACCCGTTCGCAAGGGGACAAGTTGCACGCTCTGCGGAGTTTGCGACCGGGCTCCAGCCTGCGCGCCCACATAGGCGCAGAGGGGAAATTGGTTTCCGCGGCCGGGAAATTGAGCCCGGCGCCGGCCGAGACGCAGAACACGCGAGGGGGGTGGCGGGGGGGCTACTCTCAGACCTCGGTTTTCTGAGGTTCCCCTGGGATCTGCCAGCACTTCCCGGCGCAGACGTCGCGGCGCACGGAGTGCTTGTTCTGTAGCATCTATAGCGGCGGCCGGGCTGGCTTCTGCTCCGCGCACATTCACCAGCCTGAGGACCCTGGAGCTCTCTGCACAGATTCCTTTGGCTGAAACTAGGCCAAAACTTCAGGTTCCAAACCTCTACCCGGAACCTGGACGCGGGTCCTTGTCCCTCGAGCCGGGGTCTAGTCTTCTGGTCGAAAGCTAAGAAAATCTTCCCAGGACAGGGGAGAGAGGTCAAGGGCGACTCAGGACAGTCACCCTCACCAGGGAATTGAGCCCCTGCATTGGGGTGGGATATTGAGACCCATCAGTTTCCAGATAAGACCCACTGGAGAATTCAAAAGGGCCACCTTCCAGGGGGCCTTTCATCTCAGGCAGAGGGCAAAACTAGGATTTGGGGGGAGGGGGGCGGACGGGGTGCCCTATGACCTCGATCTCCCCTTTCAATGCAGAATATAAACCTGGGCATCTTCTTTTCCTTTCCGTGTGTCTTGTCAGTGTGCGCGCCCAGTTCCATGCAAAAGCACAGCCGCCACAGTGCCCTGCCTGGGCAGCCCAGCAGTGGACCCGCGCGGGAGGGGATTCCTGCAAAGAAAAATCGCGGCACAGAAGTCCTGATTGAGTGGAACACATCCCCCACCCACCACTACTACTGCCACCTCCATCACCACCACCACCTTCCAGGGTCCGCTCAGTTCCTCGGACTCCGAGACGGTTTTTAGGTTTCTGGCGCCCTCTCTGGATGCAGCTGAAAATTGCAGTCTTTTTTTTTTTTAAGGCAGAACTGATTGTTTATATAAAGTGTTCAAAGGGATACATGTATACTAAATGCCTGCCCCAACAGAACCTAACAGGTAGAAAGCACCGTCGTTTATGGCTTTAAAAGCCTACATTTTCTAGACCGCTCACGACATAATCGCATTCCTGTGTCCTGTCTGCATAGCTTGACAAAACATGGAGTGAAATATAAAAAAATACCTTAAGGTCGTGGTGGTCTCCACCGCCTCCATGGGAATGATCATAGAATATAACTAAATAGAATATAACTAAATAGAATATAACTAAACGGAGACGCTCCGGCTGAAAGCTGTGCTCCACCATCTCGAAGTTTTCTGGATTGAAGACTTCTCCTAGCAAATACCCCTCCCCAGCCAGAGAACTCTGCAGTGCTAACCTGGACCTTCTGCTCCCAAGGAAGGACGGCGTTGTTCTCACACTTTTTGAGCGTCCTTACACAGCCGCGAATATAAAGCTATCGGTGGAAGTCTCTCAAACGCGTCCGGAAGCTCGATCCACTGCGAGTCGAGTCGCATTCGTTTCAAAAGTAAATATGGTTAACCAGAGCTTCATTTCTTTCACAAACGGCTGCTTCTTCGGAAGAAAATGAGGGTGGGGGGAGATGTTTTTCTAAATCTTCCAGGAAAAAAACAAACACGGGCGTCCTTTTAAATCTTGTTAAGAGTGTCTGAAATTCGCCAATCAGAATTGAGTCAATTTCATTCCAGGAGAAGGTGGCCCGGGCGGGGAAGAGAGTTTAGAACGCAGCAGTGCAGTGTGTGTGATTCTGAAGACCTACCCCACAGAGGACTACTTTTTTTTTCCTTCTCTCTCCAAACAGGGTAACACCTTGCTTAGCCAACCCATCTGTGAAGAGTTCTGAAGAGTTCATGTAAACACAAAGGTAGTGTACAAATCACACTTTAAACTACAACCGTGGTCCCTTCACACACACCCTCCCCGGGACCCCCAATGGTCGCCTTCAGGGATGTGAGCAAAACCCACCCAACCTCCAGGTGTTTGGTAATGGAGGGCCAAAGCCCGTCAGCAGGCCAGCTGTCCCAAACCAAGGTGTTGGGTCTGCGACGGCCCCCTAGTCTGGCCTTTTACCGACTAAGGGACCGGCTTGGGCCTGGTGGCCTGGGATGGCCCGTTGGCCCAGATGGGTCTCTGCGAGCCAGAGCAGTCGAGCGGACCATAGCCCCGCTGAAGTTCTAGACTCTGCCGGCAGGCGAGCAGCAGAGTCTCAGAGCACTTGCACTGCTGCGGGGGAGCCCCGGTGGAGTGAGGGTCTAGGGGGCGCCCATAGGAGACAACGGGTTGGTCTGCTGGAGGTCGGAGTAGCGCAGGACAGCTCTCCCCTCCCGTCGCCCCCCCACCCGCCCGCGAGAGCGCTGAGCTCGGGCGTCGCTCGGGCTGCCGCCGCCAGCCTTCGCCTGGACTTGGCTTCGCGATGAATCCCTTCGCAAAAGCGTAGCCCGAGCGCGGCCAGCCGCACCAGCCCCGGCGAACCGGAGCATGTTAATCTATTTATATGGATTATTACGGAGGAACAGCGAGCGTTGAGTCACCAAAACATTTGCTCCAAAAGACCATTTCTAAGCACTTTCGGAGGAGGCAGGCTCCGGGCGTGTAAACCGGGCTACGCGTTCGGGAGCTGCGGCTTTTCCCAAATGTAAACCCCAGCTAAGTCCCGATGCCACGGAGCAAGCCAGGAACAGACCGGCC